TCATATACTAATTGTTGATAATCCCCCAATAAAACGACTTTTGACACTGATCTTCCATAAATAGGATAAAAAACCGGTAACCTGTTTAATAGGTTGAGAAAGGACACGTGTCACATTATGATTAGTTGAATTTTTAATTTAAATTTAAAAATATTTCTTAAAATAAAAAAAAAAAAATCAATTTATATAAAATTAAATTAAAATCAAATTTGAGAAATTTGATTTTTTTTATTACAAAAAAAAAAAAAAAAAAAAATCACCTCCACCCTTTCACTGTTCAACTGTTCATGCCATGGAAGCTCTTCAAAACCCCCTTGCCATGAAAGCTCTTCACTGACTACTTGACTAGTGACCACTACACCAAACCCCACCAGCTAGAAAGCTTTCTCCAGCCACCCCACCACCAACACCATCTTTAAATCCTCCCTTTCAGCTGAAATTTCGCCAACATTTCGCCATTATCATCGAGTCACCAACATTTCGCCATTATCATCGGCCCTCGCAGCGTCATCAGCCCCCTGCCCCCCACTAGTCATCTCCCGCCCACCGTGCAACCCAAACCCTTTCCAGACCGCCCAACCCTCCCATCTCCAACCCGACCCTCGCCAATCTATGAAACCCGACCCCCTCTCCACCCCTTTTTAATGGTTTCAAGCAATTACAATATTATGGCTGGTGGGTAAGTTTTTGGGCTAGTGGTGGTGGGATTGGGGTTTCAAGTTGGTGGGGGCAAAGTGGGTAGATGGAGAAAGAGTTTCAGGCAGGGTGGTCGGTGTAGGAATTCCGGGAAGGTGGTGGGTAGTCGCAAGTGACGGAGTGGGAGGTGACTGTTGGGGGTTATTGGTTTTTTGTTTTATAATTAAAATCAATTTATTCATAATAAAATGTTAAAAATAATTCTTTCAAAAAAAAAAATGTTAAAAATAAATAAATAAAAACTTACTAATTGCAAAGTGACACGTGTCATGCTAACCCATTAAACAGGTTACCAACCGGTTTCGTCCTATTTTCATTGGGAGATTATCGAAAGGTGGTTTTATTTACGGCGGATTGGGTAAAGGTCATAATATTCATGTCAATTTTTCCTTTTTTTTTTTATCCAAAATTCCAAATAAAGGTGTTAATTACATTATTCTATATACTTCAATGACATAATGTTCATGATTATAAATTAGAGGTTCAAAAGTTTGAGATAATATTATCTACCAAGGTTAAATCCTAAATGGAATGATTGGGGGTGATCAATGTTGAGATAATTTGATACTTTGTATTTACATGGAGCTATACATTGAACATGGTAAAAATCAAGGTTATTTTGTCCTCTACGTGCTTATATGGTATTTGAGCATGTAATGACGTTGGTTGTATATGGTAAATATTCTTCAAATTGATACGATACTAAAAGTTATTAAAAGTTGATATTGTGAAAGTATTTTATGAGATGAATCAAACAAGATCTCACATAACTATATTTTGCTTAACGTATAAATCATATTATATTATATGGTCAAATAAGAGTGATAAATAGTGCAAAAAGTTTATAATTGCAATATTAATGAAACAAAGGAAATATGTTCTATCTTACATCAGGTCGGACTAGATTTTGGTCTAATATATCGACCAAGCTCACTAAATTTACCCGGGCTTTCGGCTCCCGTCGGATCAGCCCAAAACAAGTAGTTGAATGGTTGAAAATCAACATTAAAATAAAAATGTGCTTAATAAAAAGAAACAAAAGGGTCCTCGAAAAAAAAAAAAAAAAAGGAACTGGATTCTACTTGGGTTTAGTAGCCCATTAAACTCTGTCCATTGCAATAACAAGATCAATCTGTAATACTGTACTAAAAAACAAGCTCACAACCGAACTCGTGAAAATCGGTCTAAAAAAAACAGGTTTATAAAAATGGTTAAAGGTTTGGGCTGACCACAACTATATTAGGTCCAAGATGTTAGGGACCTTTTATTGAGGAAAAGATTTTAGGGACCTTATTTGAGAAAAACATTGTAAAAAATAAATCTTACGTTAATAATTGGATTTTATTTTATTTTTGACAACGCTTACATAACATTAATCACTCTGATAGAAAATCAAGTATAGAATCTCAAAACATTATTCAATTCATATTCTACTAATGGCTTTGAATTTTCTCAATATCACGTCACAATCTTAAGCATAATTTATCATTGTTGTTAAAACATCTTCTTCTTTTTTTTTTTAAAATGAAGATCCACAATTTATTGGTATGGTAAATTCGAAGAATATATGGGTTTGATTTTCCAATCTTGTAGACTACAAAATACTCTCTAAATTTCATTTTACTTATCCAATTGAAAAATTACTCTTGTATCAGTCTTTAACTAATACGAGTATAATGGAACATGTAAAATGAGATGGAGGTAGCACAAAAAAAAAAAGATAAAAAAAACATACAAGTTACAATACGTAGTATATAATATCTATATGTTTATAACACACGTCAATATGTACACCAATGTTTAAAATAAACATCGCATAATCCCCACATGGACTCATTATCTCTAATAAATGAGACCATTAGGTTCGAAGGGCCGAGGTAGGAGGACCAGAAGTCGAAGGAGTCCCCCCACATAGGCCAGATTGGTTGCACAAAACTTGAATGAAGAAAATCTGTAAGACGATGACCACAGAAAGAGATGATATCATACATGGTCCAAGTGAAATGGACAGATGTTGACACAAGTTTGACCCATTCACATTCAATTGTACAACCCCCCCTTACTTGTTTGTTCTTTCAAACTCCTGCACCTAATTTTTGAATTTTTATCTCCTACCCACCCACTCTCCCCTGATATCCTCAACATTTAATCTTTAAATTATATATACAGAAATAAATTCAGATTAGTAGATTATTTATTGTTTGTGTTAGTGGTACGTTTATTTAGTATATTTGTTGGATGCTAGTTGTTAGATAACTTTAATTTTGATGGATTCTTGTTATTCCTTTTCCCATTGATTCTATGACTTATTTATTTGTATTGTGATTAATTAGATGTTTAAGACCACGTCGCTGTTTAATCATGATTTCGTCATCATGTATCTTTAAGTCAATTTGACAATATTCTTAACATCATCTCAAGGTTAATTCATCACTACTCCCTCCGTCCCATAATTACAGGCAAATAACTCTAAAAATTACAGTTTTTAAGGAGGATGGAAAAAGTAGAGGAGTATTATATGAAAAAGATAAAAAGTGAAGAATGTTGTATGAGAATAATAAAAAGTAGAGAATATTGTATGGAAAAGTTAAAAAGTAAGTAATGATTTTTTGGATAGGTGTATATTTTGTATGAAAAAGAGAAAAAGTAAGTAATGATTTTCTAGGTATGTGTGTAATTTGTATGAAAAAGCTAAAAAGTAAGTAATGATTAGGTGTTATTTTTGGTAATAGGAGGAACATTTTGGGACACCCAAAATAATATATTTGCCTGTAATTATGGGACGGAGTGAGTATAACCTAATCACCTAAATGCTACCAAATTCTTTGTTTTATCAAGGAAGTAACATTTTATATATATAAAAAAAAATTCTGGGTTAAGTAGGAATCACATATTTAATACGAAGTACTTATTGTTAATTAACGTACATAGATGGTACATATATCATAATACCGTTTGATTGGATGTTTGCATGATGTGGCTTTGTGACTTTGTGTTAACCTGGTAGCAACATGTGGCACAAACATTGACTCTTGAAAGCCTTGATGATCTTCATTTTTGAAATGATATAGGTAGATAGACATTATTTTGACAATAGTAGAAGCAATTGTAGTTTGTTATTTGTTACCAATCAAACGGATTACAATTCTTATAATTGACCTCTTGAGCCATTTTTCAAACTTGCAACTTATCACATGAAAGGTACTCCAATTTAAAGCCACGATTAATCTATCATGGGGCTTGGGTGCAAGCCTCCCTAGACCTTTCAAAAAATCGATTAAGTTATCTTTGTGATGTGCAAGTAATAGTTTAAAAGCAATTTTAGTGTAAAATTGATATATGAGAGTGAGGGATAGCTCAAGTGGTTAGAGCTTCCTTCTCGATTCCAGGAAATCCGGGGATCGATGTGTAAAATTGATATAAAAGTAGCTTTGTTTCAATGATACTAGACTCACAAAGATATAGAGCGTGAGAGTTTATACCTAGAGCATTTTAGTAAAATGAAAAGAAAAAAAAAAGAAAGATAAATTACTGTATTTTATTAATTAATCCGTTGACCCAATATAATATTTTCCTTTTTAAAGTGCTAATGTGATGAGTTTCAAATAATCTCTTCCATTAAAAGGATTATTATTTTTCAAAAGAAAAGGCGAAGATAGTGTTTAAATTGTAGACAAGTTTATGGTTCGTTACACATCAAATCCTAATAGTCCAAAAACAACACTGATTACAAATTTATAATTAATTAAAATAATATATTTGAAGTTTTGGACGTATAATACTCCCTACGTGTTTTAATAAGTGTTACGGTTTGACTTTTCACTATTCACATAATGGTTTTGACTTGCAAGTATATAAAAAATAAATGTTATTGCATAATACATTGTTAGATTCGTCATAATGCATACTTTCACAATATCAATTTTCCTATAATTTTACTAACATCTAATTAGATAAATTAAAGGTCAAAGTTGTATCTTAGCATGCGTGTTTGGTCATACTGTAACACTTATTAAAACATGGATGAAATATATATAAGTTGTAAATCCAATCGTTCCTCTAATCGTAGTGTCCCTCTAGTCGAGGTTAGAGTTTTCCATTCAACTCACCACATTTTATCATAATCATGTTATCATGTACATAAAACATAAGTAGTAAAGTGTGAACATACACACAAGTGAAGTGACATAACACATCCAATGTCCAAACCACACCCCATTCCCTACATTTCCTCCCAAGTCCCAACCAACATGTTAGCCCATTACCACACCAACCCAAACACCACCCAAATTTACAAATGTAACAACAAATTAAATTAAATAAAAATTAAAAAAAAAATAAAAAAAATCCAATGTTCCCGCTCCCCAAAAACGCCGCCCTTTCACCTTCCCCTTCTTAACCCACCAACTTTAACCGTAGTTAACCCACTTAACCCCTCTTCCTTATATATAACCCTCTCTCAACCTTCCCCCACTAAAACGCTCTAAAATTAATTAACCCCCAAAAATATAAAAAATAAAAAATGGCGTTTTACGCTGAAGAAGAAGAAGTTTGGAAATGCTCATTACACCCATCAAAACGTCGTCGTACTGGCGTCTGCCCTTCTTGCCTTAAAGAACGCCTTTCCGCTCTTTGCCCTGACTGTGCTAACGTGCGCCCTTGCTCCTGCTACGCCACCACCTCGTCGTCTTCCTCCGCTTCTTCATCTTTCTCTCTCCATTTTACCGACGGCGGTCGGATTTCTAATCTCATCGACGGCGAACCGGCGTTTCGACGGTCTAGATCTTCCGCCTTCCCGTTCTTCCGATCAGCGAGATATTCCACCGTTGATGAGAAACCTCCGCCGGAAAAACTCGCCGGGAAATCGTCGTCGTTTTGGTCGGTGATTTGGTGGCAGAAGAAACCGAGGAGAGAGAAAGTTGAGGCGGAGATGAGGAGATCGAAGTCGGTTGCTGTTGCCGGAAATAATGATGTCGTCGGAGTTTCGAAAGGAAAAGGGTGGTATTTTCCGAGTCCGATGAAGGTTTTCCGGCAATCTTATTCTAAGACTCCTAAAGTTGTTCACGAACGTTCTCCTTTACATCGAGGTTGAACTTTTAATTGTTAATTTTATTTTATTTTTAAATTATACTCGTAACGAGTTTATTAATTTTGGTAATTGTTAATAGCAATAGATAAATGATTAAATGATAATCCGTACTTGGTAGTAAGCTAATGTCTAATGGAAATCGAAGAGTGTTAATATTGGAAATACTTTATATGGGATGAATTAATAATACGAGTAGTCAAGTTTACAATTTGTGATCATAGTTATTGATTTGGTTACTGTTTTTACTTTCTATTAGTTGAATTGAAGTTTGAAAATTATTGCATAATTTTTAATCTATGAATGTACAACGGTTGTGTTATTGGTACGTCATTATGTCATTATTGGTAACGAACATATACTTTAGACAAGAGCAAGTATAGTGATGGGTTGGTAAAGCTCCCAATTCATTTGTGAGTGGATCGGAACACTAATAGCAAATTTAATTGGAGCATAATTAATGCCACTAATTATGTTTATTTTTTAGAATCAATCTTTTTGTCAATGTCACTTGTTTAATTAGTTTTCAAATAAAAAATTAGACGAGTAGTAAAATGTATTACTCGTACTGAGTACTCGTAGTTCATTTTAGTGACTTGACCATGAAGATGAGAATGCATATGTTACAAGAATCCTCGCATTTTAGGCGGAATGTCTTCTTGCCCCATATGCTTCATAGCAATATAGAATTATTGAATTGTGTCTTGCTCAATATATGAGATTAATCATGGTAAATAAAGACGGGTAGTGCTAATCATTTGACCTGATTTATGTCTAAGTAAAAATTTTGAGTCGTTTTAGTTTTTCAGGTGCTATCATGCAAATTTAAATGACGTACTATTATGTAGACAATAAGACATGTATATTTAGTTTTTAACTTACGGAGTATATTATTGAATTTTATTAAATATACGAGTACTATAATTAAAAAGATATATATGTAATATATTTGCAACTCCCTACCAAAATCTCTGTTATTATTTTTTCTAGTGGAATAAGAAAACATTTGCACCACATTTGCATTATTCTCTGCACCATGTATGGCTACTATAGCATTATTTTGTCATTACTCCCTAATTAAAATAAAATAACCTTAACAAGTCCAATTGTATATAATTAATCCATGTGCAAGGTGACTCAATCCAATTATAGTGAAGACATTTATAAATTTTAATTACTAAACCAAATGAAGTTGACAATTAAGTATATGACCATTTTGTGATCTAGCTAAATATAATCAATGGTGTTTGGATCCAAAAATTGAGGCACCTTGCTTTACAATGATTGAATGCATAATTCATACATCAATGGGTTAATTATGAAGGTTGGCATGTCTTTTAAATCAAGGTTCATATCTTTTAAATCAAGATTCAATGAAGAACAGGTTATTGTTGGAAGAAGTGACCCTACTTACCTTCCAATAATACAATATTAAAGTTAAACAGTGTTATAACAAAGAAACTATAGCAATAATTGTGACTTCTAAACAATACATATAGCCTTTCTTTGTACTTTTGAGATGCTTTTAGTTTTAACCGTGCGTGTATGATTGTCTAATTTTCATATTTTTTTGGGACACAAAAAGGGCTTTTAAGTTCGACCGTTTAGCTAAACTTTTCTTGTTCTTGCATCATTATTTTTGTGTTTCTTGCACTTCTTGGGTCAATTGTACACCTATCTTTTTAACATGTTATGTCAACTACAGGAAACTGATAATATTATGGAAACTTAGGAAAATAATTTAGTTGGATATCATTAGCATAAAATTCTTTTGGGAATAATTCAGTCGGTAATTATAAAGAAGAGGATTTTTATTTTATTGTGAAATTTGTACTACTTTTGTCACATGAATTTCAAAAAATTGCATTATATTGGTGTTTTGGTGTGGCCCAATTGATAAATGACTGGGATAATGGATCTTATGTTAGCTTTTATTACAGGTTGATAATACGTTAGGATTGAAGAAATAAAACACAGATAAAAGTTGAGATTATTTTCGAATAATAGCAAGTGGGGGTTATTCAAAGCAACACATACAATTGTTTTCTTGTATGCACTTTACCATAACTTCTAGCCTAGCACTTTCACATGATCTACATATATTACGCCCCTTTGACTTCACATACAATTATAAATTTTACACTCGTTTGACTTCACATCCAATTATAAATTTGACACTCGTTTGAAGGTTACTTCTATAAGTATCGAAACTGATAGATATTATATTTACGATAATATTTGTCGCACATTAGGATAATTTTGTATATATTTTGTTATATCTCGTATCCTTATCATAACAGGATTACGACTCTTGTAAACCTCTATATATATGAATCAATGGTACACACTGTAATCTGAGGAGTTTTCCCAAAATCTAACAGAAACACTCGAAGTCGTTTTATTGATAATTACCTTCTTGAAGCTGAGGTGGTAGAATTCTGTATAATGCACTGAGACACAAAAATCTTAAGAAACAAAATGAAGTTTTATAAAATTAAAAAGCAATATGATACGTATTTTAGTGATAACACTCCATACTCGATTACTGTGTACCTTCATAGAATGCATGAACAACCTTCACTTTTCTCTAATAATGACTTGATGAGGGGGTTATAAAGCTAGAAAACTATGTGAAGAGTGAAAGTACATGTATTGTCACAAAAACAAGGGGAGGAGAATTAAGGATAATAAACAAAGATTAGTGCTAATGGTGATTAATGTTCCAACAAAATAGGGAACATTCTTCTTGAAAATAGAAACTCGTGAGGCAGAAATTGATGATTTGTGATGACATTTTTGGTGCACGAACTTGTGAAAGCAACCTCTCCTTTCTAACTTCTGATCTTTTGCACGTTTCCTTGTTTGAAAGTTTGAAACGCAAAAAACAATTTTTATTTTTAAAATTATATTTAGATGCCAAACAATTAGAAAAATACAGTAAAGCAGAACTCATCTGGTTGGCATATTTTAACCCTTTGGTCTGACAATTATCCTTGGGTTTTGACAATAAAAGAGCACACCGTCTTGTACCAAAAAAAAGTTGTTACAAAAAGTAGTTGTCTTGTTCTTGAGTCATCTTCTAAACTTGCCTCATAAGTCAAATACAATAATTGTCACTAAATTTCTTGCACAAATTGAACACTTTAGAGCCTGTTCTCTTCCGTTGAAATTCCGTTCAGTTCAGCTCATTTTAGTTCAGTTAAGCTCTTAATTTATGTCTAATGATATTGCTAATGATATAAAGCCAAATTTCATTCTTTTAAACTCTTATTACAACGACAACGACGACAACGACAACAACAACAATAATAATAATAATAATATTAATAATAATAATAATATTAACAACAACAATAATAATAATAATAATAATAATAATAATAATATGGAAGAAGCTTAATGGGTGGAAAGAGAGACTTTTATCGAGGCCGGGGAAAGAAGTGTTAATCAAAGCCGTGGCTCAAGCTATTCCGACATATATGATGAGTGTCTTCAAAATCCCGGAAGGATTGATAGATGAAATTCATAATCTTTTGTGCCGGTTTTGGTGGGGATCGAGAGAAGAGGCTAGGAAATTACATTGGCAAAGATGGGAGAAATTGTGTGCTCCAAAGGCAAAAGGTGGATTGGGATTTAGGGACCTAAAATGCTTCAACCAAGCCCTTTTGGCTAAGCAGATTTGGCGACTCCAATCAAATGATAAAACTCTCATCTATCGAATTTTTAAAGCTAGATACTTTAAAAATTCGTCAGTTATTGAGGCTCTGCGAGGACATGATCCTAGTTACACATGGCAAAGTATGTGGGGAGCTAAAGGGTTACTTCGTGATGGCATTGTGCGCAAGGTCAGTAGTGGATTGAATACATTGGTCTGGAAGCATCCATGGCTGATTAAAGATGGGAGGCCGTTTACTCCATTGATGCCTGATGGGGGTAACCCAAACATGTGTGTGCGGGCTCTGATGATTGAAGGGGCGGAGAGTGGGATGTTAACAGTGTTGGGGAGCTATTTGATGCGGAGCAGCAGTCTTTAATCTATGCTCTTCCACTACCAAACGTTAGTGGGGATGATGCGTGGTATTGGTATCTGTCTAAGAATGGAACGTTCTCTGTCAAATCTGCATATTGGCTAGCAAAGGAGGGGAGTGGAATGGTCGTATCTGATATTGTTGATGAGGAAACTTGGCGCTCAGTTTGGAGGATTAAAGGCCCACCAAAATTGCAACATTTTATATGGTGTGCGGTGAGGGGTAACTTGGCTGTCAAAGAGAGACTTGTGCAGCGTCATATCGCCCCGATGCTTCTTGTGGCATCTGTGGTGCTGCTAGTGAATCTATTATACACGATGTGCTGGAATGTGAAGCTGCTGCCAAGATATGGGAACACAGCGAGCACAAAGAGGAATTGGTGGATGCTCCTACTGGTTCGTTCGCTGAGCTTTGGGCATGGATCAATAGTAGGTGTTCTGCTGGGGTTATTAGTTCCTTGGCGACCCTTATGTGGGCTGCGTGGAGATGCAGGAATCTCATTGTCTTTGACAATGACAGACAAAACCCAATTATGCTTGCTGCTGGATATATGAGACTTGTGCACGATTATTGCTTATACTCGAAAAGGGTGTTTAAAATATCAGCAGGTCTGACCCGTTGTTTGAGTGCAAGCTCGTGGCTGTGTCCCCCCCCCCCCCCCCCCTGGCTGTGTGAAGATCAACATAGACGCTCATGTGCCGAGGGAAGGTTCTGCTGGTATTGGTGCTGTATTCAGAAATGAGGAGGGAAGCATAATCCTGGCTGCAACAAAGAGAGCTCCTTTATCTTCCCCGGAGTGTGTAGAAGCCCTCGCTGTAAGGTATGCTCTGGTTCTGGCACGTAGAATGGGATACAGGAAGATATGGATTGAATCGGATGCTATGAACGTTATTAATACGATCTCTTCGAATACCACAGGCTTCTCCCCAGTCTTTGTCATCTATGAGGATATTTGTATTGCTAGAAAATGGTTTGATGTTTGTCTATTTTCTCATGTGAAAAGGGCATGTAATACCGTGGCTCATCTTGTCGCAAGATGGGATACGGGTGTTAACTCGGAATATGTACGCTTGAATTCCTTTCCCCAAAGTATCACCACTTTGGCGGGATTGGATATTTCTTAATTAATATACATGCTCTGTTTCTCTCAAAAAAAAAAAAAAAAATAATAATCAATAAGTAATAAATAATAA